GAGAATATTTACACTCGTGCGTCTTGTTGCTCTTGAATGTTATTCTACCTTAGTGAAAGTTAGTGTTAAGTTAATAACTTAACTAAGTTAATGCGATAAATCAATAAAATGTAAAACTGATTATAACTTCTGTTCTGATCAAGGATGAGAAGAAAGAGAAATTGCGCCTTTTTAATCGTGCCATTGGATCTAGTGGTAGGCCCAAATTACAGTGTATCTACAAGTCAGTGGATCTAAAATAAACAACAACAACAAAAACATAATAATGATTAAACACTTTATTAAAGCGTAATTGTCCGTGACAGTTCAATTGACAGTGTGCTAACTAAAACAGTCTGATTAGGATATATTTCTCAACATGCAGATGGCTGACACTGACACTATTTGCTAATATACAGTTACACAAAGTGGAAGTCTCTTGTACATACATTTCATGTATCTCTATTTCTGTTATGACTTCAACTGGAAGAATTAGACCAATTATAACTCCCCTAATTTTGCATTATTCATATTATAATCCATTGCATTTCAGCTTTATCTGATAGAATTAAACACCGATAACTTGCAGCGGCCGCCATTTCTATGTCTGTGTATGTTCGTACGTTTTTTTCCATTTGCATTCCTAAAATGAAAATAAGAAGAACGAGCTGGCTTATTTGACTCGCAAATTATGCATCCATGAATACATAAAATATACAATTACCAATCAATGATGCTACAGCAAAGCAGAGAATAGACTGCCATAGTAAACATCTCTACCACAATGGAGAAAGTCAGGTGCTTTGGGGAACGCTTTCTGGTCTGCACACACTCTGTATACTAAATCCAACTAGTTAGATAATTTAATCAAGACACAGTAAATGAAAAACGTTAAACGAAGTGCAAAACCAAAATCTTATTAAGAATTTTTCTTTTCAACGCGAAAGATCAAGGAATTAGTCCTTCGAAAGATGAAAGCTATCCGACAATCATTTGCGAATGACCAATAATATCAAAACAATTGCATGAAAGCCATTCGTGACATTTTAAGGTCTTCAACCAAGAGAGTTTATGGTCATCTTTAAAGTGGTTTCGCGAGCAACATGGTCATTAAGTGACGCTGGGGATTAAATACCAGAAAAAACTTAATCGTATCGGTGGCAAAGTACAGTAGATAGAATTATCATGGTAGTAAGGGCAGTGACACAGCACTGACAGCACGCTTGATATAGTCTGGTATTCGTGCGTAAGCGACTGAAGTCACCAAAGGAAAGACATGATGACTTATATTTTCTTATTCCACTAAAGCAATTACAGTTTGCAAATAAATATCGTTCTATTGTTGCTGTTGTTGTTGTTTGTGACATTAGTTATCACTAACTCCTCCATCAATTTAGCAGAATATTGAGATATCATATGAATGAGTGGACTACATTGTTCAATGTCTGATTATTTTAAGACAAAGTTGACTGTGAAACATTCACTGAATATCTAATATGTTAATCTTTTATCTTCGGGATATAAAATCCAAGTGGCTTAAAATTAATCACCTTCCTGAAACGCAACTGTCAAGCACACAACTTTATTCTTCAGGAAATATTTAAAGACAAATTTCAAAATAATAGTTACAAAGCAAAATTACAGTTTCACCAGCGTAGGGTGTATGCGTATTAAGTTATGCCCATCTTACTCTCTCATCATAATTTTGCTCGAATTCCTTCCACCTCCCACAAATCACAAGCTGGCAGCCTACTTTCCATTCCCAAGTTTCCATTATTGTTAAGTGTACCCGATGGTGTAAGATATCATCTTATATTTTCCCAACTACTTGTATATCAATTAAGTCTTTCCTTATTCCAATTAGTATTCTCTCATTTTCTCTTGAGGGGAGAAAGAATTTGTGACCCAGAGTTCAATAAGCGAGATGGAATGGCATGTCCAGATAGCGGGGCAGACGTAATGGCCACCGCGAGGGAAATTAACTTTCCACTTAAATTTCCGAGAACTACATGTAGATAGCCGCAGATAATGCTCAGAGGCAAGACAGAAAATGATAAAAACTCTGTGTGAGGTGTGAATGAAATGATAATATGGTAGATCTACTGGTAGTATAAAACGTAACTTGCAGTTAAATGTAACTAAAACATCAAAAGTTCTTCATTTAATGTTTTTACACTTGTTACCACACGGGACAACAGTGACGCCTCAACCTGTGATACTGTCATGAACATGAATTTAATCGTAATATCTATTACAAAATTGAATTAAAATGATATCATCACTAATATCCGGAAGTAAATTGGTATATACTGCTCGTGATGTCAAGGCATGGCATTTAGTATTGACTCCTGTTTTCAAACATGTTTTAATTAGTAAAAAGACAATTTATAATATAATCTTTATTGAGCACTAAAACGTGTACAAGTTGCATTTTACAGGCTCTCTACTCTAGCCATAACAACTTTACAACAACTATACAAATCTTTACAAATACTTATGAATTAAAGAGGATGAAATCAATACCAAAAACAAATTGCGTACTTGCCTATTTGACCCATTGCTATTGGACCTAATACTGCTTTACTTTTTAGAAACATTACATGTATATCATATAACACTTTAATACCCTTTAATTAATAACAGACGCAACTTAATCGTTACAATTTTTTTCTTCCTGTGGAGATCAAGCAAGGAGTACGAAGCTTTCACAATATTTATAAATTAGCAACAGGAAAAATTGAAAAAAAAAAAAACAAAACAAAAACGCATGCTAATTCATAAATAAAACTTGAATGTTTGTTTATCAAAGTCACAGCATTTCCAGGCTTGAAAGTGCAGCGACGATAGTCTCAACAAGGGCGTTATGATCTGACCATATTTCAGAAGTCTGGAGGAATACTGTGTATTTTTACCGGAGGCCAAATCATGTACAGATACATGTATTACAATGGACAAGACACTGACAGCAGGATGCAAGACTGCAGAAGATAATCATAAAAACTAATCAGCTTTTCACAGAGATTGCGGATGGAACTGGTTTTTGGACTATGGGTTTTGAATTGATCGCTGTAGGGATTTTACGAACATACTAGTACACTCGAAACAGAAGCAATATCATGGAGTAGTTTTTACTGAAAATCGTTGAAACGTCTTGTATGGTTGATGAGTTATTAAAGTGAGACATCTAGGTCGTTTTTTAAATTTTTTTGACTACCAGATACAGTATAATTAATGGGTCTGGGTATTTTGTAGAAAGACAGAAAAAACGAGGTAAGCGATACTCTCTGAAACGCAACGTAATCGGAAGAAGTTCCAGATGCATATTTAAAATAAAACCTTTGTGCATTTGTTCCAGGATGAATAAGTTTCAGTTCATCATAAATTGCTGACAAACATTTCAGAATATATATTTGGTAGAAAAGAGCCTAATATCTTCCTTTATATAGCGTGCTATTAATTAACCATTTTTTCATCGTACACTAACATTGTACATGAATTTTGTCTATATTATATCTAGTGACACGTTAAATGACACGACGAGACAATTGACACAATGGGGAGGAGGAAAATTGACAGCAATTTTTAGAAATTTCACTAGACATAATATCATTATAGATAAAGGATAGAAGGTGCGAGGCGATTTTTTTCTGCCGTTAATTCTCCCTCTGAAGTGAATTTTCCTAAAGCGATAATTTTCATCGCTACTGATAACCATGGGATCTATATGCAAATGAAAAAGAACCCACAGAAACGGCTTCGCAATTTGTGCAGGGAAAGCACTGGCCACAATGACTGCATACAATGCTGATCCATATTTAGAGTTCTCGCAGCAGAAATGGTGAGTTTCACCCCTAACGGTACAACAACAATGCAACTCTAAAGCGTGTTTAAAGCTCGCAATTGCCTCAAAAGCATTGGATAGGATATGCCATCGTAATTCAATAAAAAACATTGAAATAAATTGTTTTGCTGTATATGGCAGTCTAACGCGCACTGTATGTCCTCAACATTCATTTTATTGTGTGCTTACTAATAATATTGACCTCTTTGCAAGATATATGCTTCTGTCAATATCAATATATCAAATTAATTTTATCTGCTAGGTCTGGTTCAATTTTAATCATAAAGCTGCAAAAATTCATTATTTGAAAACTACTTCAAAACGCCCATTTTTACGCAGGTCATAAGGCACACAACCATCCCTAGTGGCAGAGTTTCCTGTGTTTATGTAATGAAAGAACTCCGCTCTAATCTTAGCCAACCCGGAAAAAACAACAGTCATAGCTCTCACCCACACAAGAATATTTGTTGCTCGTCTAACATGACTGCTGATAAACAAATAATACACGCGGTAAAACTTTTGATTTGAAGGGGAATTCTTAAAGTCTTGCGAATAAGGTGCTTTGGCGGCAAAAGCATCGGTTCAAATTTTCTCTTATCGGAGATAACATCTAAAAGAATGATATTACATTTCTAAGAATGTAATTTCACTCGCACCTTGTTGAAGTCTGCATCGTTATACACGGTCACTCCCAGGAGATTCAGGCGTTATTTTGACGTCACACGCAACATTTAAGCCTTTCGGCAAGACCCGTAGGCGCAGACGCGTGTTCTAAGTGATGACAACACTGAAAGAAGCGTTTCAGACGTTAAACGGCCACTAGAGCTGGCGGAAAACACTTCAGATATAAACCATGGGCCGCTGTTAATCTCTTCTGTTGGAAAGTGTGCCCACTCAGTCTTAATTTGTATTAAACTGATCAACTAGTGTTAGGGCGAAGATACAACATGTTGCGGAATGAGAAATACATGTCATTTTCACTTCCCAACTGAACATGCTTACGGCTGAATCAGGGATAACAGGTTTCCAAACATCGGCAAGCCATAGGGAAAAAAGCAACAACAGACAAAGGCTGTGTAAATTTGCGCTGTCGTTTTGCACAATAGTAAATAATGTTTTTAAGGTCTGCAGACAAACTATTCAAATGTGAAACCCACCTGTTCGATAACTAGAAGAAATAATGGAAGAGGACTGCTACCAATTGAATCTTTCATCAGCAAAGATGCCATTCAATGGTGACTATAGCGGGAATGTCAGTTATGCGGTATTGGATGGCGGAGCAGTGGAGGGCTCGGGCTGCCACATGAATGAAAGTGGCACAGTGTGGGGTTATGGTGATGATGGCCTAATGAAGTTTATGATGGATTTGAGGGAAATATCATCGATCTTATTACCAGTGATATACGGCCTTGTTCTCGTCGTTGGGATATCCGGGAATAGTTTAGTGATATACGTTATATTAAACAACAAGAAAATGAAGACCTGCCCCAACATGTTGTTTCTGAACCTTGCCGTCGCTGACTTACTGTTCTTGTTGTTTTGTGTTCCGCTGCAGAGCGCTGTCGCCATCTCAAAATGGCGCCTTATGATTGGGGACGTGTTATGTAAGATGTTACGTTTCACGACTTATGTCACCATGGGAGTGAGCGCCTATTCTCTTGCCGTCATTTGCATGTTCCGCTGCAGGGCGATAGCGTCTCCGATACGGGCGTCTCAGTTCCTAACCAGACGCCATGCCATTACCGTCAGTGTGATCGTATGGCTGGCTATGCTGGCTTTCAACATACCAACGGCTTTATATTACCGGGAGATTGACCAATGTAGTATGCACACGGAGACGGACGTGGAGTTCTATCTACTCTTCTCTATTATAAGCGGTATAGATTTTTTTATACCTGTGACCCTCCTCGCACTCTCCACGGTAGCCATTGTGTGCCACATCAGGAGAAGCAGGTTTACCCCGGAGAGCGAAACCCTGGTGGCCGCCGGTTATAACCCACGAATCATCGTAGTCCTGGTGGCCGTGACCGCCGTCTTTGTGTTGTGCTGGGGACCGTTCCACGTTAACTTCATCCTCATGATGTTGGAGGTGCGGGGGATTAGTCGAGCCTGGGTTGTGACGTCCATATCATCCATCGTACTGGCCTCGGCCAATTCTTGCCTTAACCCTATCATATATAACTTTGTTTCCAAGGAGTTCCGGAAAGCGTTCCGCCAAACCATGAGTACGGTGATGAGGTCACGGGAGCACAGCTGCAGCGGACATACTGTGGTCAGTATGAGGTCGCTCCGGACATCTGCAAGAAACACGAACTCTTGCACGTCTAACGAGGTTTGAAGGGATTTGTACATATTAACGTGTCGTTTTCATTGTGATACGAACTTGAAATGCGGACTTAATGAAGTATGTGTCACGTCATTTTAGAGCGAGAAAGTCGAATTGCAAAAGTATACTAAAATGTTAGACAATATCAGTTTATCGTAGCTATCATGATGCATGGCAGAAGGCAAATGAGATTTTTTACGTCAACGAAATTCAAGTAACATAAAAATCATGATAATGAGAACTTGCTATCAGTCTGGTGCATCGTTTTGTCAGAGCTAGTGTAAGTTTGCTCCCTCATGTAAGTTTACTTACAGTGTTTCAAATACCTTGAAGATGCATTTAAAGTCAAATTTTTACAAAAAAAAAAAAAAAAATGCCACCATATAGTTCCAAATAGTATAACTTTCAGAAACACCTAAAGAAATCGTTTCATACTATCCGAAAAATGATATTTGAACTGATTGCTTGTTTTTTACTGTGCATAAATGGGGCAGATAAGCAGGCCAGATAAGTAGGGCCAAAAATTTGAAAAGGTGCAGTTTTGAACTTTTTTATCGCTGAGTGATTAATTCGGTTTGTACCTTGGTATGTCGACTTAATTTAAGTTGTATAAGACACTAGTAGAAGTTATTTATGTACTTTACTGGGAATCCAGTAATTACACTCCACAGACTAGCCAGTTGATTAGACGAAATATACTTATAGTGTACGTAATACCTTTAGCCAAGTCATTTGTAATCTTGTTCAGCTTTTAGCTTACTTTTTAAGACTTAAGTAAATCCGAAGTTGCATGGCAACATTTACCTTTGTTTTGGTGAAAACATAAAGAGGCTTACTTCTGAGATCGTTTATTGGGAAGGAGAGAACTAACAATAAATGATAAAACTGAGCATTGGTGCGTTTTTTTTTTTCAGCGCGACGTACAAGTAAATACAGACAATTCGAATCATGAATTCGTTAAATGGCGTTATTGGTAAAGAAAATGAACAGATGTCCAATGTCAGGCCCAGGTATAAAAAAAGCTGCCCGAAATTCAGAAAGGCGGTTTTGGACAAAATTGTTGTAATCCAAATTACTTCAATGGATCTTATGTAGTAATGCTGAAAGAACGTTGTGTTACATTAATTTACATGTGGATCCACAGCATACCTCTCCTTGGTTGCTATTTCGTGCTGCTTCTCTGCTGCCTTCGTCACATTGGAGTCTCAGGTGGAAGCGGTGAAGAAAACTAATGAGTTTCCGATCTGATCGAGGCAGCAGAGAATTTACAAGAAACAGTCAAAGATATTCCATGGTTCTATACAAATCCAACCTGCAACCTGTTAATTGTCATAGCGCATGGCTTACGGTAAATTTGCCATGAAATGCGAACTAAAATGCGGTGAAATAGTGATGAGTTAGCATTGTAAATTAATGCCTTAACCAATTCCAACACATTGGCATCGATATTTTAAGACCTTGAGAGACACGGCCACTGAGAGGAGTTAAAGATACGCGTTGAAATTTGATGAATGGCATGCACTGACGGATTGGTAATGAGAGACAAAATAAGCACAGAATTCGAGGTCTGATTAATAACTCGACATTGGCCATTGACGTCAACACCAGGCATAGTACTAACCGATAGTGTAAGCCATGTCTTATGAGGAAATTAGTTCCTGAAAATTTCATCAAAATCCGTTGCAGAATACTGCTATAGACAGACAAACTAACGGGACCAAAAACAACTTCCTTGACGGAGTTAACAATGGGAAAAACATATGTGAATTAGTTCTGTCGGCTTTTATTCGTCACACCACTGCTCTCCCAGCCTGTCTTCTTTTCTGACAATGCTCTCCTTCAATTCCGGAAAGACCCCGTTTTCTCTTTTGTTGCCGCATGCTTGCATGCCAAAATTAAAGGCACACTCCATTGGTTTGAAAATTCCCAAATGGCTATTTTTGACATCAACAGCTTCTTATAAAACCTTACATACACGTTGAAAACAATCTAATCCCCTTAAAGTTTTTTCTGGAATCTGATGTTGATACTTACATAATGCGTTATAGGAATATGGTCGCTGGTTATAATCACAGGTCAGCCGTTTTAAACTAAATCAACCTTTATAAATTTAATTAAAGGTCGAATCTAAGTGTACAGAGGGATGGATAATTGTTTCCTGAGTTCAAGAAAATTGCTTATTTCCTCAAAAAATCATTTTGGTGAGAAAATCCCATGGAGTTGCACATTAGGCGAGTTCTTGTTTTAAATTTTCTTTTTTTTTCACGCTCCGAGACGCATTTTTGACACCTTTCCTTAAAAGCAAAGACGGGACTGCTGACTCAGACCTAACAGTTCATAGTTGCCATTGTGTGCCAGCTTATTAATTATATTTGCTTAATTGACCTTTGTTTCCAGTATGCGTGGAAAACAAGTGTGATTTGACAAACGACACTTGAGAAAAGGGCGTTTGGTTCAACATCAATGAAAAACACGATAGGGCAATTAAGGTACAATGTAGGTGCTTAATACTTATCGAAGGTTCAAAGCATGTGGTTTGGTTAACAAAAATAACAGAAACCAATCGAAGGAAATCTGAAACAACAAAAACAACGAAATGGCAATAAGCAAAACAAGACGTTCAAAGTTACATGTGTCACAGTGACTTAGGTCAAGGTGACCAATATTGCTGATGAGAGGCTTTTCTGTATGTCTTTATGGTGGTATTACAATCTTAAGCCAATTTTAGGTCGCTATCTTCAAAAACATAGATGATTTCTAGGGCAATTAAGATGGATGGAAAGAGAAACCATCTCGAACTCATCCAAGAGTAAGGGCCTTCTCTGTCGGTTTATGTTCCTCTGGCTTTTTTCTTCCTCGAGGTATCGCATTTACAAAGTGAGCATACTTTAAATTTCCGAAACATACATACATACAGAATATGTGTTTTGGGAAAGTGGATTTGTCATTTGTCATCAAGAGATGAACGCTTTAAAACCATGCTGATGATGTCTCTGGCCTACAAAAGTAGGTCAAGGTTACCCGTAAAAGGTACCCCCCCCCTGCCCCCGTAACCGCCCCGCAAGCCCACCAGTGTGGCGGTGATTGGCTTGTAGCGTGCCAGCTTTTCATCACTGGTAACTTTGTACTTAGAATGTAAGCACTAACAGGTTTCTGGAAATCCTTCAAATACCATGAATATCCGAAAGACATAGGAAATAAACAGCAGCATGGTTTTCATTGTAATTATAAAATTTCGAGGTAATTTTCACCAAGTCTTTGATCTTCGAGAGGCACTTGTAAGTTGACAGTTTATCACGAACTAACGTAATGTCAGCGTTTTATAGGCTAAATGTCACATTCGGTTTCAAGGATTTCTTTGTCATCACAGCAGCTTTGATTACAATTCTTTGGGTAAAGGTATAGTGCAATTGCGTCCAAGTGTATTTTATTTCCACAGACTTTATTCTCTACCGTGAATCAATCATTTGATAGATAACAATAAGAGTTCCAATAGGCTCACTTTAATAACACCATTAGATAAAGATAATAATAAAACGATAAAGTGATCCAATTTTCAGAAAACTCAAAACAATTATTTTGGGCAAAAGCATGTCAGCATTTCAGTAATTCTGACTAATAAGACGACAGTATAAATTGAGTATCAGTCGGAAGCTTACAGAGAGAGTTCATATACATATAGTCTTCTCATCTAGCAAAAGTGATCTGTGAATGTCTTTGCGAATAGTGTGAAACTGCTGTGCTCAAAATTACGCGTGGACACATAATCCTGCTGTATGTCAGATAATACCCTTTTTTCTAAAAACAGATGGTATTTTGTCTATAGCTTGGGAAATCAGTTGATACTTTAGAACCCAATGTTTCGTCTGCTTACAGTCAGAATCCACAAGTGAGTATTCTTTTCCTTATCAGCAAGGAAAAAGACCGACACACGCTTTCTTTGACACAAAAAAATCATCTGCAGTTGAGTATTCTATTTCAGCTAAGCCAAAACTCTGCAGAAATTAACGCATTATATGAACAGTGGGATTCAAGTTAAAGATGAGCGTTGATGTTGTGCTGTGACGCAAAAAGAATATCCCCAACAAAGCTCAATCTAAAGGAAAATTGAATTATCCCAATCAGATAATGGACAATTTGACAAAATGGCATTTCAGTTTCGTTACGTTATTTGCCTTTTATTAGATGATGGTATAGAAATTATATGATATGATTGGTATGAGATGATATAGCCGTATTGCATAGCCGAATTCTATACACGTTTTCCATGCAGAACGAGTAAAATTTACGACGGACTATTATTGACCTCATTATTAGTAGTGCTTTACCGGCCTGCACACACGCACACACACACACACACACACACACACGCATTTCATCACACACAAGTGCGCATGCATTATGTTTCACGTTGTATTAATTTTCAAAGATATTTTAATAACGCCTAGCTAAATTTTCATCGACAATAACTTCAATACTATTTTCAAAGTAGCTTCAATTGAAAGCGTCCATTTCGCTGAAAAATCCGGTTACTATAACACGACACCCACAAATTTAGAAGTAAAATGACAGATTGTTGATGTATCTGTTTGGTTTAAAAATATCCTGGTTGTGGCCTTCACATAATTATTCTGATGTCAAAACAAAAATGGCAGCAATGAGCCAGCCGGGTACACCTATCGTTTTGATATACTGTCGACCGAGGACAAGCAGAAATAAATATCTAGTTCATTTTTGTCATCTCAATTAGGATTTTACCCCAGGCCCATGGATTTCCCAGGAGATGACAACTCACCTAAATAAACAATGCGTTTTAAAATTTGACATGGCATGTCGAGTATTGGGATGATTGCCAATCTGATTCAGATATGATATCGTCAAGAAGTCCTCTACCAAAAGCCAACTGGGTGATGACGTCGTTTCTGAAATCCTTTGCAATAATTCTCGCTCACAGTACAGTGCTGAATGATACAAAGAAATCTGTGAATAGCTAAAATGGTATTCTTAATTGA